TTTTTTTTTTTCTTGTAAGTAACTGATAATTTTATGCATTACATGTGAGTAATTAAATTCGAGCATCTATGAAGTCTTGTTTGTTTTAAGAAATCCAATTAATTTTTGTATCGATGAATAAGGCTTACTTAAATGTTGATGTTATCGGTGTTTTATTTGTTCGAATGTGAACTATATATAATCTATTTGACCCACCCGAGTTTTCTCGGTTAATACTTTGGTCTAAAGAATGAAATTTTATTTAATTGTATGTTCGACAACTGTGTAATGGAAAGTCACTTGGAGGTGATATTGTTTTAGTATAGTTGTTTTTGTATCTTTTGTGTTATATATCAATTTCGTATACAATGTTTGTTTAGCTTTATCATTTCTGTGGTTTGGTGATTAGTTTTTCCTTTTTCACTAATATTTTCAGCATAAAACAGTGGTCTTATATAGATTTTTGTCAAGTTCTCGTCGCAAGTGTGTAGATTTTAACGGCTGTCGAATGTCTTATTAGCTTCTAAGCAATCTCCTTTCATAACAAAAATTTGGTGGTTTCTAATCTGACAATAAATTGGGTGTAGTCGTGCAGTCAAATACAACCCACTACGGTAAATTTTCCTATTTTCTACTTGCTAATATTACTTACTATATTTATATAATTCACGTTGTATTTTAGAAGTGGGATGGAGAGTAAAGTTGATATTCACTAGCATTATCCCAAAGTGTGCCTAATCAATGAATAGACTATTATTATCCTCGTTGTTACTATATATTTTAGGACCTTGATAACATATATATGCCAGATTGCTTAGTACCTTGATGACATTACTTTTCTCCTTGTTTTGATATTTTTTAGTGTGTATGGCGAATTTATTTTTTCAGAATTGCTTATTTGAGAATAGAGGAGGATTTTTGAACTCTGATGTAGCTAGCTAAGACCCTTGTAAGTATAGTTATTCATAATGGTGTATGTTTTCTGGTGGCCTTAGAGTATCGAGTATTCGTTCCTTGTGTTTTATACTATAAGATTAAGCTAAAACAAACTTAAGATAGTTATTCTTGAGAGGAAGTTGGGCAATTACACTTCAAAGATTAAATATTAATAATAGTTGCAAATGTTGATTTTCTTATCCAAATAATCGAGGAATTTGCAATTTCTATCATAGCATTTCATGGTGTTTGGTTTTAGCCTCAGTTTCAATAAAGGTCGACACTTTTTGTCCCCAAATTATCTGTTGATAGGAATATGAATGTTTATGTAGTATGTGACTATAAAATTTATTAATGTAATAATGTGTCGAACTTATTAGTTCTACATTATGTTGACATATGATATTTTATAATGAATATACATTGTAAATTTTATCATCTTTACCAAATTTGTGTCTGATGTTACATTAGCGTATGAAATTATCGTGTGCTTAGTTGTAAATTTATGCTAATATGAAAAAGAAGTTATATACAAATGTTGTGATATTTTAATTATATCATATTTTGAGATTATACTTTTACATCATGTCTTTGCCCTCTCCCTACATAGATGGAGTTTCTAAAGACCATTAGCCTCCTCTAATTAGATATGATGCGTATTGGAAATATACTTAAAAATCATTTTTATGTTTGATTCAATGCCCGGAGCTCTTTTGGATGCCTGGAAATAGCTTGAAACTAAAGTTTAAAAGTATGCTTAGTATCATGAATTAGTAGTAATCAACATGCAATAATGGTCAAATGACATTGTGTTCCAAATGTTAAGGGAAGAAGAAATGAAAAATAGTCTCATAATGGTAGGGTGTTTCAAAAGAAATTATATTGGAATGCAATTAATCAGTAATAGTCTCATTTATTTTAAAATCGGTCAACTTTGATGAACTGCATTCCAATGGAATTACTTTGAAATACTCTAACTATGAGACTGTATTTGAATTTTCCCAAATGTTAACATCTGTTGCGGTTAGATCTAATATGTTTGGAATCAATGGTTGCCGGTGATAGATTTGATAGTTTAAGTTCTTAACAACTCTTCTGCCGCAGTGCATTTAGAGATTGCATGCGATTTACGTCATGGATGGTAGATTTCGCATTGCATTCTGAAATTTGGTTAGTATATATATATATTAATAGCAGTTTCATATATGTGGTTTGTTTTTCAAATATCTTGGTAGAAATTGCAATTTTTTTTTTTTTTTAATTTCGGAACATACTTTGGTGGGCTACAGTTACCACTAGTTGGATATTGCTGCTTTTGCCAGACAAAAATTAATAATACATGCAATGGAGAATGGGGATTTAGGAGTAATAGGCTTGGGTACTTTAAATAGGAGTCAAATCTAAACTTTATTATTTTTTAAATGTAATAGATATTACTCACAAAAAAAATAAAGCCATATTTCAAAGGAAATTCCAAAGCTAATATATTTCAATGGAAATTCCAGTCTGAATTTCCAACGGATTCCCATTGGACTTGTATTTTCCTTTGAATTTTAATTGGAGTTTGATGATTCCAATGGTTATTTTCCCAACGGTAGAGAATTTTTTGGTTTTTTAAAACTAATATATGTATTCTATTTATGTTAAAAAATATTTTTAAATATATTAGAACAAAAAAGGATCTATCCGACTGGTTGTTTTTGGTTGGTTCTGACCGGTCCAACGAGTCGTTAACCGGTTCGTTGGCAACCAATTTTTCATACCACTGGTTGAGTTTCCTGTCCAACCGGCTGGACCAGCTAGTCCAGTTCGGTTTCGAAAACAATGGGTAGGCTTATGCTGAACGCACTTTAGTTATGGGTTAGAAGGATTAGTGGATGAATTCAAACAATACACGAAAGAGCGTAAGTATGTCAATTGAATGGGTATTAAATTTTCTCTTTTAAGGTAATTATGGTTTGCGCTCGGTTATAACTTTTTTTCCATATATATATATTTTGTTTGCCTTTATCACTTTCCTTTCTGGGCAAAGTTTGAATTCAAGTATCTTTCGACACAAAATGTAGGCTCTTACTCATAGAATTTACTAAAGATGCTCTGCCCTTTAAACATTGGTCTTCAAGAAGTCTATTTCTTAATATCTGTTCTATAAATTTCAAATAAGATAGTGGCAGGTGTATTAATTTCTATTTTTCAAAACTTGCATTTCTGCCTGATGATTTTGGCTGGTTCTGGAGTTCATATCATATAGAATTGTATATCATATAAACTTGTATTAGAGTTTTTATTCAGAGAAGAGTTGATTGCCTATGACGATGCACCAAGATAAGGAACATGATTGGCGTAAGAGATTTAGCGTCTAATTAATTAGCATCTTTTTATCGTCTTCGGTTGTTTTGATACGGATTTTTTACTCGTTTAATTGAAGGGAAGATGACCCATTTGAAATATTAGTTTTCCCATACAACCATATATGCAAACTATAATTTACTGGTATTGCCTTATATTGTTATATTTCCTTGTTTTCTTTATTTTTTTTTTTGGAATTTGGAAGTACACTAATTTGTGGTTTCTCTAGTGCTTGTTGTCATACTTTGATGTTATGATTTCTTGTTTTTGTTATCTTCCTGATGAGTGCTTTTACTCTTACATCAACATTCTTGACTGGTATCAGATAAATTCAGTAACTTATCAATGTTAATATAAATCTCGGGTTAATTTTTTATTTGTTTTGTAAGACCACAGCATTATGGAAGAAGCAAATGCCATTTTGGGCCCAGCCAGGTGCTATTGGGCCGAAATGTCCAACTCGAGCAGCAGCAGCAGCAGCAACATGAGTGAGCGGTCCTCTAAGTACAAGGGCGTTGTGGCCCAGCCCAACGGTCACTGGGGGGCACAGATTTACACCCAACACCAGCGTGTCTGGCTTGGCACCTTCAAGTCGGAACGTGAGGCTGCCGCTGCCTACGACAGTGCTGCCGTCAGCCTGCGGGGCCGCCCCACCCATCGCAACATTCCATGGACCTCCGTCACCGCCCACGAGCCCGACTTTCAGGCCCACTTCACCCCTGATGTTGTCCTGGCTATGATCAAGGATGGGTCCTATGCGGGCAGATTCTCCGATTACCTCCGGGCCAACCACCACCAAGACCCCACCCTTCCGGGCCCCAACAACCAGGCCTTGGACATCCGCTTCCGCCAGCTATTCCAGAAGGAGCTGACCCCAAGCGACGTGGGCAAGCTCAACCGGCTGGTAGTCCCGAAAAAGTATGCCCTTAAATTTCTTCCCCAGATTCCCAACATTAAGGACCGGAGCAATAATAATAATAATAATAATGATAATAATAATGTGGATGATTTGGAGCTGGTTTTTTTCGAGCGTTGTATGAGGAAGTCGTGGAAGTTGAGGTACTGCTATTGGAAGAGCAGCCAGAGCTTTGTGTTCACTAGAGGCTGGAATAGGTTTGCAAAGGAGAAGAAGTTGCGAGCAAGGGATAGAGTTATTTTCTCCTTATACGAGGCTGGGGACCAGAAGCTGTCTGTAATTGACGTGGCCTATTTCGAGGGCTTTGGGCCCGTGGAGGACAAGGTGGATGGTGAGGGAGAATTTATGGAGGATGCAGAAGAAGAACCTCAGAGTATTGGGGAAATTGCAGTTGTTGAAGAGGGGAAGAATATTAGCAGTATGGTGGAAGTTGGTCTGGAGGAGGCCAAGGGCTTTAGGCTTTTCGGGTTTCAAATCGTTTGAGAACTAGGATTTATATATGTGGTTTGCCGGTTATTATTGGGCTTCTACTAATTTGTTATGATTATTGTTGGCTGCTGCATGAGATTAAATTATGTTGAGAGGTTTTAGACAGCCAGATTGGACGTTTCCATTGTTTGTGTTGATGAAAATGTCAGTTCCTTTCGTTTTCTGGTGACTTACATGTCATTTTTTAAGTCTAAATGCAGATTTCTATTGTCGTTAGCCCAAATGAATTTGTTAACCGTTGAGGTTCAAATGAGTCGAACATGATTAGGCTTGTCACTTTCTGAATTGCTTGAACCATCGTCGAGTTGACCCGAAACGGGCGGTTCAGTAATTAAAAAAATAGAAAATCTGAAAAAACAAATCTATTAAATACCCTCCCCCAATCTGAAATTTCTCACCACTTGCAATCTCTCGATTTTTTCATCTCATTTCTGAGTTCTTTAAATGACATGATCACCTTTGAGCTTTTGTGACGAGTTCTTTATAAAATCGTTCAGTTTTGTTGTATAATGCTTCAATGCCCACGGTGGGCACATGTTAATATACCCACCGCTTTGTATGCACACATTGGTGATGTTAATATGTTCAAAAAAATATATCACCAATGTGTGCATGTCACATAAGCGGTGAACATATTAACATGTGTCCACTGTGGGTAGGAGAGCATTACTGTGGTTTTGTATACTCAATTCAAGTACTGTAAATTTACTCACATTTAGCTTTCGGTTGTAGAAATTCTCTACAGTACTTTCTCATCTCTAATTCATATCATATTCACATCTCTTTTATTTTATAAAATATATTCTTCAAGTTTATAAAACGTCTGGCGGTCGTAGTGGTGGTGGTGGTGCTTGATGACTGGCCATAGAAGTGTAAAAATGTTGGCGTATCTTCGAGTAGACCTTGCCAATACCGAGGCAGACGATATACTAGAACATTCCGGGTCAACCTGACGACGTTGAGCTCGGTCCAAAGCGTCTTTCACTCTATTGAATAAATCCTACCTTTATGTATGCGGGTCGGGTAGTCGGTGAACGCGAAGGAGATGCTCGCAGTGGTTGAAGCCATGCAATGTTGGAGACCCTACCTTTTAGAGCGACACTTTCGAATTATGACGGATCAACATTCCCTTAAGCATCTATTGGAGGAGAGGATAGTCACGCCTGATCAACAAAAGTTTGTCTCGATGTTAATGGGGTTCGACTTTGATATTATTTATAGACCAGGGCGCTAGAACTCGATAGTGATGCCCTATCGCGAAGGACCGATGTTGCTGAGTTGACGGCAATCTTCGAGCCAACCTGTGCCGTGTGGGTGAGATTCACGAGGCGCAAGTTTGAGACACCTTATGCGAGGAGATTCGGCAGAAACTAAAATATAGCGACGCGAAGGCACATGACTATAAGGACCACGCCAGGCTATTACCTTTCAAAGGGAAGGTTTTTGTGCCAAGCGATGGTTAAGTGCGGAGGCGATTATACGCCACTTCCGTAGCTCGAAGGTTGGAGGTCACTCGGGCTACTATCGAAACTGAGTGAGGCTAGCCAACATGTGACGCCCCATTATTTTTATAACGAAAATCCCGAGTTTTTTTTTTTAAAAAAAAAAATAGAGTTAATTTTTCAAAAGCATTTTTTTTTTCGAAAACTATTTAATGAGCGCTACTCAAATAATCATTCAATCCTCTTATAGCTCAGATCATATCTGAGCCTATGGGAACTTCATTCCCAATATTCATCATATACACACGAGATAAACTCATCATATTCATATCCTCGCAGTCATACATAATCATACTATCATTTTCATACTCTCACAGTCATACATAATCATAACATCATTTTTTAATTCAATAACAAGTGAGGTGAACCAATTTCATAATTCAATTTGTTGTCCAAAACAAATGTATCATGTTGACATCATAATTATAACAATATCCACAACAAGGAGCATGAATAGTTCAATAGACATGCAATAATGGCCCCGCTCGCTCGTCTTTCGCCCCTGCCACCAGCTCAACCTAAAACGGCTGGGGGAGGTTG